CTATGATAAATGTGATGAAGACGCATGCTATGTCCTAGCGGATTCGATACAACGGTAGGTATCTCAAGGTCACTCCTCACAATCACAGAATTAGCAGGCATGCCAACACAGATATAGGAGAGCGTAGAACCCGGATCGATCAAGGCATGCATAACCGAATCAAATAGTATGAACGTACCCAAGATAACATCGGGACTAGGATCTGTGCGCCCCTGCATGGCGTAGGTACGCGCTGGTGCCCAGCCTGACTGCTGCGGACGTGGTCTCTGCTGATTATTTGCTGCTGTAGACTGCTGACTCCGTGCTGGATGTTATGTGGCAGGCTGATCCGGAGCTCTAGGAAAAACCGGCTCGCTGCTAGGGTTTGTCGGGCAATGCCTCCTGAAATGCCCTGGCTGACCACAACCCAAACATAAGCCTTGGGCGAGCCAACACTCGCCCGGGTGATGCCTACCACACTGTACACACTGCGGGTGGCTCCTCGTTCTGATCGAGTTGCTAGAATTGGCCGACGGAGACGGCTTCGACTTACTCCTCTTAGGCGGAGGCGCACTCGAAGAACCCTTCTCGTACCTCTTTCCCCCGAATCCGAAACACTTCCCGCTCGGCCCGGTGTTGGCCGCGGGTTGCGGGTCTTTCGTCGCTCGATCCTCCTTCTTGGTTGCCTGCAAATCGTCCAAGCTCTTTTTCGTCTTCACAATCAAGTCATACGCCGCATTAAAATCTGTCGTCGTGATCAGCGTGGCGTACGGCCTCAAGTCCGGCCGTAGCTTCTTGACGAACTCATTCAAACGATCCTCCGGAGTGGAGACCAGACTCGTCGCATACTGGGACAGGTAGTCGAACTTCTGTCTCAATTTAGGCAGTGACATCCCGTCCTGCTTAAGCGCAACGAACTCATCGCGCCTCTCCTCGCGGTACCGGGTGGGGACGTACTCCTTCGTGAAAGCTCAATCAAAGCGATCCCAGGTCCATGGCTTGGGCGTGTATGGATCCTGGTCAATGCGCTTCCACCAATCATATGCTCCCTTCCAGAACATCTGTGACGCCAACTCCGAGCGATCAGCATCTGGGACTCTCAAATTCTTGAGTACCCGGTCCATCTGCTCAAGCCAATCCAACGCAATCTGGGGCTCCCCCATCTTGTCTCCTCGAAACTCTTCCGCTCCATTATCCTTCAATGTCTTGAAGGTAACGATGCACGGCTGCGGCTGTGGTGGTGGCGGTGGCTGGAACATGGGCATAAGCTGCGCCATGTGCTGCATATAATGGGCCATCATGGCCGGGAACATCTGCTCGTAGGCCACCTGCGGCATGACCAACGGTGGTATCACTGGAGGTGGTACGACTGGCGGTGGTACAACTGGTGGCTGTCCCGCTGGCTCAGGTTGATTCTGCTGCTGCCCTCCGTCACCCAGAGGCGTGAAACTCGAACCCTCGGTGTTCACTGTGTGCACGCTCACGTGCTCCGGCTCTGGAACGTACTGACCATGGGTCGATTCTTGACTCATTCTAAAATAATAAGGAAATTCTCAAGTCAGATCTTAACATATAACAGATAGAGCTATAAATACTTATTACCTTCCCGGGGTAGAGGAGTTACGTGAGATGCAGATGCGGCTGAATTATTCATTATATTTTATTCTGAAAGGGTCCAAAGACCGATTTTAAAACCAATTGCTCCGATACCAAAATGTAACACCCCAACCCGCATAACCCAAACTCGTGACACAGCGGACCGGTGTGCCACTGGATTGGTATCCGAATATACAACATTTTCAAAACAATTTTAAACAAACGTTCTATCAATACATATAAAATTCCATCGGAGTAATTTAAAATAATGCGGAAGCCTTTTTAAAGTCAAACAACTTGGGATCTTGCTCGAAAACGTAATAAGCAATAAAGTTAATTAAATAAAGCATAACTACAGATTAAAGAGACAGCCACGCCATCGTACATCTCCTCCTCAATGCCCTCTGGGATCGGCTCTAGGTTCATCTGTCTGATCACCTACGGACAGCAAAAAGGAACACAACGCTATCCGCTCAGAATTGACGCTGAGTGGCACTCCATTGTAGCACAAGAATAAACATAATAATTCAATGATTAAGATTGCGCATATGTTTAACCTTTTAATAAAAATCAATTCAACTTTACATTCGGTTCTTTAGACGGTTGACCAACAGTCAACTTATTTTCTTTCTTTTCAAAACGATTTAGGTGTTAAGGATTCCTCATTAACTCTTTGACCACCGGTCAAACCAATTTAGACTTTCACGAAAGTCAAACCACTTAACATTTAATGCCTATGACGGAGATAGCCTCAATCCGTAATACCGAAGATAGCCTCAATTCGGTGGAGGTAGGATCCCTCGGGCGATAGCCTCAAACCCAAGATCACAGACCCTCGTGCGCACGTCTTAACCTCACT